CCTGAACATCATTAGAACTGGTCCGGACCCCAGCCCCTGGTCCCTGACACCAGGTCAGCCTTTGGGTTTTATACTCTTGTCTCCCTCCCTCCCTCCCTCATCAGGAGTGGGAGCTGGTGGTGTTGGGGAAGTTGAAGTGGAACCTGGCAGCTGTCACTCCTCATGACTTCATCGAGCACATCCTTCGCAAGCTGCCCCAGCCCAGCGAGAAGTTGTCTCTGATCCGCAAGCATGCGCAGACCTTCATTGCTCTGTGTGCTACCGGTAGGAGCAGGCTGGAGCCGGAGGGGGCCTCGTGGGGGGCGGGGACACAGGCTGAAGAGCCCCTTGGTGGGGGGTGGTCAGGGAGAGACTGACGGGGGTACTAACTGGCATGGGCTTAGGGGTTCAGGAGAGGGGTGGTCCCAAGTAATCTAGAGTACAAGGTTTTCATTCCCAGGCTGTGTGTTCTTTATTTTATCTGAGCTGGTGTATTCTTTTTTTCTACTAAACTCATAAATGGTTTATGAGGACAGGTGTGGTAAGCGGAAAAAAAAAAGTGCCTGTTAAAATATTCTTTATGATGTCTAAAGTGCTCTTTGAAGATTATATATACTGCTCTCTGGTTGTGTTTAAATCTTTAATCTTTTGAGGAAAAGGATGCTTGGAGATAAGGCCAAGAGGAAATTTGGGGGGGTGGGGGCAAATATAGGTTAAAGGAACACTGTCTTGATAAATACGCTGCCTGCCTGATAAGCAGTAAGGGAGGTCGAAGGAGTTCTCTTTACTGTAGGGCACTTACTGCTGGGTAACTGGTGGATGGGGGAGTGAACCTGGCTGGCTCTCATCAAGGACTCACCTTCTGAGCACTAAGTTCTGATGCCCTCCCTTTAAGTGCTGCTGTTTTGAATTGGTTGCAGCCTTTACCAGCTAGCGCAAGTGGCTTTTTCATATTAAAAGCTTTCCACCCACCACGTTCATCCCACAATTGATACATAGTTCTTACTGGCCCATTTGCTTTGCATTGCCCTAATAAACTAAAGGCAGTGGTTTGACAACTGTCTCATTAAACTGAGCCTTGGCCAGTTTCTACTATTTTTGTTCCTTGGTAGTGGCCATGGGAGAGACCCTGAAACCTTAATCATAGGTAAAGACATCATAGGTAAAGAACTGACTGGGCAGGTCTTTTGTTTTGTTTTGTGGTGGAGGGGGGGGTTGGGGGAGGTTGGGGGGGGGGAATCCAGAGGGTTCAGCCCAAGTTCACTAAGAGTTGTTGAATTTTAGAGATGGGACTCCTGGGTTACCTTTTTCCAATGTTTTGTTACATGTTATTTGTAAGTATGTACAAATGGATCACACAATATGCAATAGTGTATATGCTCTGTGTTCTCAGTCAAAAGTTCAGGCTTTGCTACTTATCACTGGATGACCTTGGACGGCTGCTTAACCTCTCTGAACTTCAGCTTCTTCATCTGCAAAACACACCTGTTGATACATGATCTTAACAGCCTTTTCAGGGTGGTTAGGAAAACAAAAATCAGAAAGAGACAGTGTGCAAAGAGGTACTTTAAGAACCAAGGAACGTGTAGACCATGTGTTGTGGTACTAATTGTGAAAATGCCACCATCTCCATGTTTAACTGTTGCAACTGCCTTAATCCAATTCAACAGGACCCCTTACTCTCTGCCTTCCCTGGCGTGAATGTAGGGTTCCCAGCCACCCACATTTGATTCTAGGGCTTAGATTTTTTCTCACCGGTTTTCTGTAGTCCTGCCCTTCCAGATCCAGACTGGGCCCATGGCCATGTTAATGTGTCCTGTGCCCCTTTATGAGAGAGTAAGCTGTCCTTCCTGCAGCCCTGAGGGGGCCATTCTTCAGAGCCCCCCGTGGATACCTTGCTGACTTTTAGACAGTAGCCATTCTTTTGCTTCCTCGCTTCTCTTGCTGTCTGGCCTGGGGCCCTAGAGGTCAATCCCTCATTGACTTGTCATTTTGTCTCCCAGGCCCTGCTGTCCCTTCGTCTCCATTGTCATGATTCACTGTGGGGGAGGGGTCAACCAGTCCTTTTTTCTCTAGCCCTAGGACCCCCGACCCTCTGACCCGAAGCTCCCCCATTGCCCAGCTGTTAGCCAGAATTCTGCTTTGACCTTGTCTCTTGACTGACAGATCTTTTGGGGTCTGTCCACCCATTCCCCCATTCTGATCTCTGATTGGGGTAGGGATGGTAGGTGGAATTATCCAGGCATGGGCAGATCCCCAGCTTCTGTAAAGGCCCATTCTCTAAAATTGGGGGTCCCATCCCCCCACTTCTGGCCTTCTTGCCCAGATCCTTGGGGTGGCTGCCAACTTTGGGGCCAGAATAAGGAGCTGGAACTCAGGCACTGAGGACAGAGGTCCAAGGAGTGGCACAGGAAGTCACGAAGACTGCCTTTGGGGAGCCATGAGCTAGCTCTGGGCAAGGGCTAAGAAAGGATACAGGGAATAACTCCAACCAAATGAAGACCACCAGCCATGTACTAAGCCTTAGGTGTGGACTGGTCAGAGCAGAGGGGGCTCCTCAGAAGTTTCCTGAGTCTAGGAAGGATGGCTCTGTCTCCCAAGGCTTTTCTTTCTTGATCTGTGCTTGAGTCTGTATGAATGACCAAGTTACATAGAATCCTCACTTTGTGGAGTTTTATACCAGATGGCCTGATGGTATAAAAGCCCATATCTACTTTTCTTGGAGGAAACACCTTCCAGTTAGATGAAATGCCTCCTTTTGGGGCCAGGGTGTGACAAATGGTTGAGTGCCTAGGACTGTCTGGCAAGCGGCAGGCACAAGGTAACTGAGAACCAAAGGTAGGTGATACCGAGAAGGTCCAGTTTGCTCCTTGCACCTCACGCCTCTGTCCTTGTCCCTCAATCCTGACTATTCTGCCCTGAAGCCCAAGAGGCACCTGCAGCCGGGGTCTTGCAGACTTACAGTGGGTCTGGAGGAGATGGTAGCCAATCCTCTAGGCTGTGTGGCTAGTTTATGGGATAAGTTGGTTGTGAAAGAGCTGGCAGTAGTTCCTCAGTCTGTGCGGGGAGTGCATGTGTGTGTGTGAAAGGGGAAGAGAGAGCAGGAGAGCAGAGAGGGGCCGTGAGGAGGGGAGCGAGGCTGCAGTTTTCCTTCGGGGCTAGAGGGTAAGATGGTGTCAAGGCAGAGAGACGCCCTTCTTCCCCCCCCCCCCCCCCCCCCACTCATCTCAAAATGGCTTCTGGCAAGAGAGACTGCCTCCACCTGCCTGGTGTCCCTCTCTGGGCCAGTCCTGGTTAGTGAAGGCACTGGAGGGAGAGGGAGACCTTCATAACTGACAGCCCCTGGCATTCCCTTTCCTGGAGCTTTTGATCCTGGGGAAGCAGGACTGAGTCTTAGTGTCCCCCTGTTCGTAGGTGTGATGGTAGAGTCCCCCAGGTCTGCAAATGAGGAAAGAAGTACCGTTTAATATGACTCAAGATCACACTCTGGCACTGGAGGATTCTTGATGCGGGATCTCACGCTCAACAGATGATTCCAGTTAGTCTGGAAACGCCAATGATACTGAGTTTGAACTTGGTGTGGGGGTGGGGTGGAGGTGCTTAACCTCCCTACCTATGCGTGGTATCCCACATCTCCCTCTTTTTGCCTCGGGCCCCACCTCAGGGTGTTTTGCTTATTAGCTCTTTGCAGCATGCACTAGAGTAGCCCCGCCCAAGGCTCCCCACCCTGAGGCCTGAGCCCTGGAACCCCAATGAAGCCCCAGTGAAGCCCCAGTGATGATAACTGCTGTATTTCCAGCCTTCCTGGCTTTACCCAAAGGCGTTTCATAACCTTCTATCATAAGATAGAATTATAGCCGGGGCCCGGAGAGGGTAGGTGGGTTGGCCCCTTACCCCAAAAAGGTTTGCCCTGGCGGCTGCCAGGTGGGAAGAATTTAAGCCACCTTCCTGTCTCTGGGCTGCCCCCACAGCTGACAGGGCGTGGAGCTGAGAGGAAGTGGCGTGGGCAGCCAACAGTGTCAGTTCTGCAAGCGCACCCCGTGGGGACCAGCAGTGTGGCAGGGCTATCTCACTTCCTTTCTGGCCGGACAATGAATGAGGAGTAGGCTGCTTGCTGTTCTCCAGCCGTCTCCCTCCCCTCCTCCTGCCACCTAGCCCTTTGGAGTTATATTAGTGTTCCATGTCGCCCTGGTCCTTCCCCACAAGGACAGGGTGTGCTGAACCTATTCCAGGGGTGGTAGGTGAGGTGTGTGCTGTGGCCATCACCTGCTGGCCAATGAGCATCTGGGATTCTGGCCTTTGAACCTTCCACCTTGCTGCAGGTGGGAGGAGGGGGAGAGATGGGGGAAATGGGAAACGGCGGGGG